AATCAATGCATGCAATTTACCTAATTGTTGGAATCAAATTTTCAGAAAAAATTGGGAGATAGCAAGAACTGCAGATGCTGGAGTCAGAGTCAATACAGTGTGGAGCTGGTGGGTCACATTGGTCAGGCAACATCAGAGGAGCAGGAAAGTCAACATTTCGGGTTTACACCCTTCATCAGGACTTAATGGAGGGTGTAAACCTGAAACCTCGACTTTCCTGCTCCACTGATGCTGCCTGACCTGCTGTGTTCCTTCAGAAAAAACTGACCAAGTTTTTTCTATACTTAACAAGAACTACTGTTTATTACAAATACCTAAGTTCTAATTGTAATTAAATAGTCAAACAAAAAAAAAGGTTTAACGGGTGGAGGGAAGAAAACTTAGAAACACAGTTCAAAAAGCACAGTTCACACTTTGCTGAGATGTTCCTTTTGGTTGCCAAGCCTTTCTTTCATTTCTTCACAGGACACACAGGGCGGTTGGCACATTGTCTACAAAGTCTCTTCGTTACTAGTTAAAGGCAACAGTTTACAACTGGTGGGAAAATATACCTGGCTTTCTTCAGGCTTCTTTTTAAACTGTAGAATGAGACACATGCACACACCACCGACTCTTTCAGCTAACTTTCTGTGCTTCATGCACAAGGACATTCAGATCCCTCTGTATTGTAACACAATGTAATCTCTCTCAATGCAAAGAACATCATGCTTTACTATTCTCCGAACAGAATGGCTGCCTTAAATTTTCCAACATTGTACTTCGTTTGTCAATTTTCCCCCAATCAACGTATCTATAGCCCTTTGCAGTCTCAGTGGGTAGATTATTCTTTGTTAGGTAGAAGCCTCATGCATGGCTTGCAGAAATGCTGAGAAATCTATGTTCACTCCTAAAAGAGAGGCTCATCAGATCTTCAGCCCATCAGGCACTTAAGTGAACATCAGTGGGCCTTCCATTCCCTGACAATTCCAGCACTCGGCAACAGCACTTAAGAGTGAATAGAGGCCAAGGCAGGTATTGAGGGGAAGGGGTAGATTGTCACAGGGTGAAGGTCACAGAAAGAGGGAGGGCACGGTGTTTATATCATGCAGATGCTATTGCAGTTCAGTCCCTTCACTCCCACCCCTCCAACTGACTGTACAGCCTGCATAGGTTTACCTACTGAATAGATTTCCTGCTAATTGTCTCACCTGGAGCACAGAAAATTGCAGTTAAGCCAAGGACAGGCCCTTAAATGGTTTTTAAGTCATTGTTAATTGACCACTTAGAGGTCTTAAATGATGCAGAAGAGATTCACCAGGATGTTGCCTGCGATGAAAAGTTTCAGTTATGAGGAGAGACTGTATTGGCTTGGATCTGTTTTTCTTGGAGCAGATAAGGTTCAGAGAGAATCTGACTGAGGTATACAAAATTGTGACATACATTGACAGAGTAGATCGTAAGAATCTTTTCCCCATGGCAGACGTATCTAGCACAAGTTCAAGGCGAGGAGTAAGTGGTTTAGAGGTGATCTGAGGGAGTGAGGATTTTCTTGACGTTTACAGCAACAAGTCACATTTCTAACTAAGTCCAGACCTCGAGACAAGATTCTCACCAGTGAGTGGTGAGAAACCTAATAACAGGGATTACTACTCAATATCCTAATCTCACGTTTTAATCTTTACTCTTCTATTCTGTCCCCGAAGTGACAACAGGTGTCTGATGACCCTAGCTCATCACATATCTCTTGGATACCTGGCACCAATGTCTCAAGGCACGTTCCATGGGCAGTAGACGCACATACCCCATCTCCATAGACGCTGGCACTGTGCCAGCCTCTCCGCACCATCATGCTACATCTTGGATCCACTTACAGTATGTTTCTGCACATCAATACTAAACTTTGAATTGCATCAGCACTTATCATTGGAATGAGGCTGCAAGGATATTATGTGCAGGGACAGGCACCCAGCTCACCAACTGAACCAGAATGCATCTCAGGGCTGCTCGTTTATTTTCTTAGCAGTCACTCACTTATTGCCTACCTGGATGCTCAGAGCATTCCTACCTTGTATTTTTTTGCCCACTCAGCCAGAGCTAACAGGCTCAAAGTACTTCCATCTTGAATTGTCTTTTAGCACAGACAAAGCCATGAAGCTTTTCATGTCTGTCAGCAGTCATCAATCAAGGAGGTGGATATGTTGCTGTATGGCACTATGCCATGTCAATCACACACCGGCAGCATCCATATATGGCAAATACACTGCATGTACTTTAAGTAAACAACCGTATCCCAAAGTCTTAGGGGAGTAGTCCTGAGTCAAATCAAGGGTGACACCCTTCAATTAGTGGGTCACAGCATAATAAGTGAAATGCAGCTCCTGATATCAGTCCAAGGGTTTGGGCATGATCATTCAGTGGCGTGGTGCTGTCAATATCAGGTTCCTCTCTGCATAGGGAGTGAGGAGCCAAATACCAGGTACTCCACAACCTGTCTTTATACCCGACCATGGACTGTTTTCTCTTGGGACAAGAGAAAGGGAGGGATTGAATGCGATGAAAATAGGTGGTAGGTAGGAAAAGGTGGTGAGGTGTCCTGAGAGAGTTAGTAGGCACTACAGAGGCTATGTAAGGTTAATGGTGTCAGAAAATTGGGTGGATAAGGGTATGTGACGGCAGATGTTACATGCGAATATGTGAATGGTACAGAATGAGCCTTGGTGGAAGGTTTGTGAAGTAGCACAGGGAAGATATAGCAGAACAAAGAATGTCATTGAACTTTTTCCTCCACTGCTGTGTATTCTTCCACGTGGCTGAGACCACACTAACCTGGATGGCAACCTCTGAAGAGATTGGCAGGGTCTGGTGTTACGGCCTCTGCTATTATCCGTGGGACACGGATGCCCCCTCTCTGAACTAGCCTTTAGTTCCTGTCCACAAGTTCCCTTGTCTGTCATGTTAGAACTGAAATGAGGAGGAATTTCTTCAGCCAATGGGTGGTTAAATTGTGGGACTCATTGCAGCAGAAGGCTGTTGAGACCAAGTCATTGAGTGTCTTTAAGACAGAGATAGATAGTTTTGTGATTAGTATGGGGATCAAGGGTTATGGGGAGAAAACCAGGAGAAAGGGGCTGAGAAACATATCAGCCATGATCGAATGGCAGACCAGACTAGACAGGCTGAATGGCCCAACTCTGCTTCTATGTCTTATGGCCTTATGTTTGGCACAAATGTCATGAGTTGATGCACTGCAGCTCAAGAATGACGGTTCTTGACCAGGTGCATACAGCTTTGTAAAGATTCAGCCGGCACCAGTTCAGAAATCCCAGGATATTCCAGCAGTGATGAGTACTTCAGCAACTGACAGTCAGAGAATCGGGCTAGCATTGGTCAAGGGAGGTGTGGTAGGTAGTTAATGAGGAAAGGTCAGGACACTAGGCATGACAAAACACACTGGATCTCACGGAGAGAAATCTTCCACAAAAGGCAATAAAAATGACACTCTGGCAAAATATGGTAAGTTGTTTTTGTACAATTTCTTTCTTAATCTGTTTGCATATATCATTCTTTACCTCCCTCTTACTTCAGGCAGGCTTTATTGTCTATTATCTCTATTCATATGGATGCTGCATTCCATTTTTCAATGTCATCCCCATAATTCTTAGTGAGTGTAGTTACATTATTTCCCTTTTTGCCCTCTCTCTTTTTTAAATAGATTATAACCTACTACCTAACACTGTTTAATTCCAAGTCCTGATTTTGTTGTAGCCATGTCTCAGTAATATTCACTATGTCTGCCTCCGGCTCCCATTTTATTATTGACATTGTGCATTACGCAGACATAGAAAGCAGAAAAGTGGAGTTGAACCTGCGGTGAAATCTGCCATTATCTTATGGAATAGTGCAGCAGGCTCAAGAGACTGAAGGTCTACTCCTGCTCATTTCTTGTGCTTTTAAGGCAACAATGCTGTTCTAAAGTTAGCTACTGGCATAGAAAAGCACTGAGAAAGGTGTGAGAGATCAAAAAACAGATAAATTATGGCATAGACAATGGGTCAGAGGCCGAAGGAAATGGGCTGAGGCTAGGGTCTCTGAGTCAGGTAATGACTGGCAAGTAGTTACTGGATTGTTCCTTATAAATTCTCAAGAATGATTGTGTCTTGAAGCCTTGGACCTGGGGGTATTCAAAGAGGTTGAATCAGGAAGCAATGGATGGGATGGAAGCTGTGGTTTAGGAGACATAAGATGACTAAAAAGTCTGGATGCAGCTGTGGGGAATGTAGAACAACTAAAGTGTATGGAAGCAATAAGTGAAGGGAGGGCCTCCCACCATCCAAAGTCTTAGATTTGACAGAACATCCTATGTGGCAGCATTTTGGGTCAGGTTAGAGGCATCTGCCAAGGAGCACTAGGTAATCTAGAACTTCAAAGTATGGGACAGAATTGGAGGGTTGGCAAATCTGGTGGGATGTAGACTTTTCACTGGGTTCACTACAGGTAGGGAGAGGATGCAGTAGTGAGCAAAAGGGGCTATGCGGTAACAAAGAAAATGATCACTGCTGCAGTGCTAGTGACCAGTCACAGAAATTGCAAGAAGCCGAATCAGAAACAAACATAATGACTACGCAAGACTGGAAAAGCTGACAGTGATCACATTTTGATTGAGAGTATATATTGTGACTTCTCTGAGAGAACAGTTGTTCTTCCTGCCTGATTCCTCCTGCTCCTATCTGAAGACGATTGTTGATATCACAACAGTTCAAAATCAGTATCTAATTCACCTGTGGGCTTGGAGCAGATGTCCACAGTTTGCTGGTTCAACTTAAATACACCTCAAGGTCCAACTTAAATCAATGTCAAGCCTAGGTGTTCCAACAGATTGTTTCCTGCACCTAATTTGCATTGAGAGTCCTTAATCCAATTTCCCATCCTTGCAACCTGCTGCAACTTCAGCATTAATCATTAGCATATTAAAACAGCTATGACAAACAGAATTATTTTTATATTATTATGAAGATGATTACCTGTAGGTTATGCCAAAGATGCTGTGATCTTTTGTTGCAACGCGTCTCATCATAATCCTGATTTCCAGTTCTATTTTGATTCTATTCAATAAAACCAGAATAAAGATTAAAATTTTAACTGTTCCTACTTTAAAAACCTCCAATTGACTAAACCAAATATTAGTAGTGAAATGTTGCTGGACTAATAATCTAAAGGCTAGCCAATAATTATAATGTCAGAGACCATGAATCCAGTCATGAATTTTATGTCAGATCATGTCTGATCTTCTACTTCAGCACTATTTTACTGTACAATTCCCATTTATTTAATACTTGGAAATACATTCCATCTCAGTCTTGAACATACTCAATGAATGAGCCTCCACAGCCTCTGGGACAGAGAACTCCAAAGATTCATCACCCTCAAGTAAGAAATTCTTCCTCATCTCAGTCCTAAATGGCCTGCTCCTTCTTCTGAGACTGTAACATCTGGTTCTAGACCTTCCAATAAGGGGAAACATTCTTATTCTTCCTGTATGTTTATCTCGTAAGAATGCTGCATGTTTGAATGAGATCAACTCTCACTCTTCTGAACTTCAGGGAACGTAGACCCAATTAATTTATTCGTTAATCAAAAGACAATCTCTCCATCCTAGGAATAAGTTTGGTGAACCTTCCTCGCACTCCCTCTATGGAAAATAGATCTTTCCTTGGGAAAGGAGACCAAAACTGCACATAGTACTTCAAAGTGTAGTCTTACCAAGGCTCTGTATAATTGTCTTTACCCCTATACTCAAATCCACTTGTGATAAAGGCCAACATACCACATGCCTTTTAACTGACTTCCGTTCCTGTATGTTAATTTTCAATAGCTCAAGGACAGATACTAAGTTCTTTTGAAGTTTAAAAGTTTACAGCAATACTCTGTATTTCTGTTTTATTTACTATCTGCATTTGTCCATATTGTATTCCATCCACAAAATGTTTGTCCACTCACTCGGTCTTTCAAATCCCTTCAAAACCATCTTTGTACCTTTTTCATACCTGACTCCAACCTAACTTTGAGTCATCTGCAAACTTGGAAATATTGCATTTAATCTCCATATCCAAACCATTGATACAGATAGTGACTAGTTAGGGCTCAAGCACGAAACCTTGCATGAGTACTCGACTAGTCACCCCGGAAAATGACCCATTTATTCCGACTCTTTGTTTTCTGTCCACAAATCCGATCCATGCCGCTAGATGCTTCCTAATCCCATGTATTGTAATTTAGTTTATCAATCTCTTGCATGGACCCTTACTGTAAGTCTGAAAGTATAAACACATCACATCCATCATTTTCCCTCTTATCTATTTGCTAGTTACATCCTCAAAATAACTTTAACAGCCTTGACAAATATGATTTCCCTTTCATTAGTCTATCTTGACTCTATCAATCCTACCATATTTTCTAAGTGTCATACTGTTGCATGTTTTACTATAGATTCTTACACTTTCCTATGACAAATGTTAAACTAACAAGTCTGTAGTTCCCAGTTTTCTCCATCTCCTTCCTTTTTTTAAATGATAGGGTTACATACAGAGGGGTGATGGCCTCGTGGTATTATCGCTGGACTGTTAATCCAGAGACCAGATAATGTTCTGGGACCTGGGTTCAAATCCTGCCATGGGAGATGGTGGAATTTGAATTCAGTAAACATCTGGAATTAACAATCTAATGATGACTGTGAATCCATTGTCAATTGTCAGGAAAAACCCATCTGGTTCACTAATGTCATTTAGGGAAGGAAACTGCCATCCTTACCTGGTCTGGCCTACATGTGACTCCAGACCCCCAGCAATGTGGTTAACTCTGAACTGCCCTGTGGGCAATTAGGGATGGGCAATAAATGCTGCCTAGCCAGTGATACCCTCATCCCGTGAATGAATAAAGGGAAAAAAAATTTGCCACCTTCCAATCTGCTGGGACCATTCCAGAGTCTACAGGTTTTGAAAACGACCACCAATGCATCTACTATTCCACAGCCACCACTTTCAACATTCGGGGATGTGGATCATCAGGTGCAGGAGATTTATCTACTTTAAGTTCCGTTAATTTATCCAGTACTTCAGTTCATTCATTGTATTTATTAGTTTCTAGATTCTCCATTATTTCTGGAAGTTTTTTTTTCCCCCCCAAAGAATTTTTTCCCATTAAGACAGAGTATTTGTTTAATTTCTCTGCCATTTCACTATTCTCTATTATACATTCACCCAGTTCTGGTTGTAATAGATGTATATTTGATTTTGCTAATCTTTCCCTTTTTACATCTCAAAAAAGAGTTTAAAGCTTGTTTTTACATTTCTCACTCGCTTACACTTATATTCTACTTTTTCTTTCTTAATCATTTTCTTGGTCAACTTTCACAGAATTCTAAAATACTTTCTATCCTCGGGTTTACAACTGTTGGCAATTTTCAGATGTTTTCCTTTGATCTAGTACTATCAGAAGACCATAAGATATGGCAGCAGAATTAAGCTATTTGGTCTGTCGAATCTGTTACACCTTTCTATCATGGATCCTGGATTACTTTTGTTCACTACAGTTGAAACACTGTGTATTGAGTTCTGAGGAAGGGTCACCGGACCCAAAACGTTAACTCTGATTTTTTCTTCACAGATGCTGTCAGACCTGCTGAGCTTTTCCAGCAACTTTGTTTTTGTTCCGGATTTACAGCATCTGCAGTTCTTTGGTTTTTAAACTGTGTATTTGTTCTTTAAATGAACAAGCACTTATCATCCACATTCACATCCTTTTTGACCGAATGCTTTCACTTCAAACTTAATGTAAAATGCTATCATATTATGGTCACTCTTTCCCAAAGGCTCTCATACAACAAAATTATTAATTGGTCCTTTACCATTACACAATACTAGATTTAAAACAGACTATTCCCCAGTTGGTTCCTTAATGTACAGTTCTAGAAAATCACCTTGTATACATTCCAAGAATGTTTCTCCACAACATTCATATTAATTAGGTTTTATTATCTATATGTAGATTGAACCTATTGTATTAACCATAATAAACGCACCTTTAACTTCCTGATTTATCCCACGATTTACATTACCATGACTGATTGGTAGCCTATAACAATTCCTATGAATATTGTGCCATTTGTTGTTTCTTAATTCCACCCAAATTGATTCTACAATTGAACTTTCAAACAAAGGTAATCTCTGACTATGGTTCAAATGTCTCATTTAACTAACAAAGCTACCCCATACTATCTATCCTGAATATTACATACAATTGGATAAACAGGTGCAAGCTTTGGTTTCCTTGTAGCCATGTTTCTGTAATGGCTAGCAGGTCATACATACAAATTTCTATTTGAGCTGGCAATTCATCTGTTCACTTGCAAATTGAGTAGTCATTCAATTTTATTAAAACATTCTTTTGTCAACTCTGCTCCTATCTGCTGGCACACGCTGAAGTCTGCGATCATTGTCCCTTCCTGCGATACTCTACTTATCATTACTTGTATCGCTGATCATATTGATCTATTACCTTGCTACTTCCTTTTACTTTACTCAATCTTCTCTTACATCACATCTTCTCCCCTATATAAATATACATGAGTCCATAATTTTGACTCAGCAAAAATGAAGTAAAGATGATGTAGTTCCAAGTCAGCTGTTGGAGGGAACCTTGGAGACTTGAGCATGAAGGTTAACATATTTGATTTGCTGTTTTTCTGGTCATCCAGTCTACACCATCATAGAATCATAGTGCATTGGACATAATTTGGCACATCATCTCTAAGCTTAACGTTATCTCCAAATTTTAAAATGCTGTGCTTTCCTAAATCATTTCTATGAAGATGGAATGATGTGGTTCTTCCATTGTCAATGTCTGAAGGATGCCAATAGCAACTATTCACCAATCTAAAAATATCCTTTTTATACCACCTCTTTCTTCCTATCTTCTAACTAATCTCTTGTCCAGACAATGTGATTGCCTGCTCTTACATGCAAATCATGTTTAGCTAGATTTGTCTTCTAACATTCAAGTATATGACATCCATTATTTCTCACCCAACACCTTGATGAATATATCAAATGACTGTTAAGTTAGATTAACATGAGTTGCTTTTAACAAGATTTAATCATGAAATGCTTTTACTGCTTACTCAGCTGTTTAGCCTTGGTTTGTTTTTTTCCTCTCAGTCTATGATGTATGAAACATTTGCATTTTACTCACCTCTGTAACTTCATTTTGCTGACTGTCTCTTTCTTCTCCAGTAGGAAGCTGAACAACTAATGAGTCTTCAAGAAGTTCCACTGGTATTAAAGCAACATCCAATTTTTCCTATTTAAAAATAACAAAACTGTGACCATGCCTATTATCACACACAGTTTATTGTTCATGGTCAGAAGCCACACAACACCAGGTTACAGTCCAAAAGGTTTATTGGTTTTTGTTCATGATCATTCATATTACAAAATCATTTCTTTCTTCCCCAATTCTCTCAATTTCACGTCTTATAATCTTCTCATGGCATGCCTGTGAACTCCCCACTGTAAACACAAACTATATTTCTGTACTGGTAGGTTTGCATATGATTACTGTGCTGGGCTTTGCAGAAAATGCAATGTTGCATAGCTTTCTGTAGCTTGTTGTGCTTAAAAAAAACCTTTGTAAAAGATATGTGGGGGCTACCTTCTTGCAGTAAGCTGATAAACTATTACTTACGTGATGAATCTGTCAGGAAAGTAATCCTCTGAAAGCCTATCTATAGATGGCTGCACAGAGTCCAGTACTAGTCAGTTTTAAATTTTGGTCACTCATCAGAAGGCACCTTGAGATTTAAGAATCCACAACTAACTGAGTTTAATCCCGACAAATGAAAGGTGATGCATTTTGGAAGATCAAATTCAGGCATAAATTACACAATAAATGACAGAACCCTTCGCAGCACTGACATACAGAGGGATCTGGACATATAGGTCCACAGATCCCTGAAAGCGGTAATACAGGAAGTGGTCAAGAAGGCATACAGTACGCTTGTCTCCATTGGCCGGAGCATCAAATATAAAGTTTGCAAGTTATGTTACAGCTATATAAAACTTCAGTTAGGCTATATTTGGAATATTGCATGCAGTCCTGGTCGTCATGCTACCAGAAGGACATGGATGCTTTGGAGAAGGTTTACCAGGATGTTGCCTGGTCTGGAGGGTTTTAGGTATGAGGAGGTTGGATAAATCCAGATTGTTTTCCCTGGAAAGATAGGGGCAACCTGATAGAGGTCTACAAAATTATGAAAGGCATAAACAGGATGGATAGAGACTTTCCCAGGGTGGAATGGTCAACTACAAGAGGGCATCGGTTCAAGGTGAGCGGGGAAAGTTTAGGGGAAAAGTGTGGGGAATATTTTTCACACAGAGGGTAGTGGGTGCCTGGAACACACTGCCAGTGGCATGTTAGCAACATTTAAGGCACATCTTGATAGACACATGAACAAGAGGCAAACAGAGGGGTAGAAACCACATATGGACAATATGTAGTGGGTCTAAATAAGGATTAGGAATTGGTGCAGGCTTGGTGGGCTGAAGGGCCTGTTCCCATGCTGTATTGTATTGTATAAAATTACCTTTGAAACACATTTCTTCCCCTATAAACAATTTCTTTATTGCTATATGTTGGTCTCGACTTCTCCCCTCTCTGTTACCATTTATCCTCATATTAGAATTGGTTAAAGATGTTACAAACAGAAGGGATAAAGGGGAACCAGTCGATGTAGTACATTTGTATTTCCATTTGTTATTCCATAAACTGTCACATAAGAGGTTAATACACAAATTAAGACTTCATGAAGTCAGAATTAATATGTTGTTAGCATGGAAAGTGAATTCGCTAATTATTAGGAAACAACAGGATTAATGGGTCACTGTGAGGTTGGCAAACTATAACCAGAGGTGTGCCACAGCAATTAGTGTTGGGGCCTCAACTACTTGCAATTTATATTAATGATCTGGATGAATGGCAGAGTACATTATAACCAAATTAGCTGGTGATACAAAGTTAGGTAGAACTCAATGCCCCAACTCTCTGAAGGCAAGTTCAAAAGGTGTTGGGAATGGGGGGACAGGTGCTGTTTCATTTGGTGAGACAGTTTAATTGGGCTGGAGAATGCAGTGTGGGGGCACCAATGCACTTCTGCCTCCCCAATTATGGCTACAAGAGCAGAAAAGAGTCTAGGAATTCTACAGCAAGTAACTGATCTTGTTTCCCCAAAGCCTGTGCACCATAAAGCACAAGTCGTTATGACAGATTACTGTCCACTTGCCTGGACGGGTGCAACAATACTGAAGCAGCTCAACATCATTCAGCCTGCTTGACTGGTACCTCATCTATTACTTTTAATACTTATACGCTTCACCACCAATGCAATGGTTTCTCTATTTTTTCTCCTTCCTGTGCATTCCCCCAAGGTCAATACATGGCAGTGGCCTCTGGAAGCAGAAGTAATGTAGTGCATGACGATCAGCATGCGCAGCTTCGAGGGAATGTTGCACAAATGCTCAGTGGCAGCAGTGTGTACCATCTAGAACAATGTCCAAACCCACAACCTCTACCACCCAGAAGGACAAGGACGGCTAATGTACAGAAACAGCAGCACCTCCAATTCCCCTCCAAGCCAACTCTCTACCCTGTTGGAATTATATCACCACTTGTTTACTATCACTGGTCAAAATCCTGGAACTCACTTCATAACAGGATTGTGGATATAACTACACCAGCAGTTCAAGGAGGCAGCTCACCACCACCACCTTCTGGAGGACAACACAGGATGGACAATAAATGCTGGTCTAACCAGCGACACACAGATCCTATAAACTAAAATTTAAAATACCTCAGAATGGCTTAATTCTACTCCTATATCTTAAGGTCTAATAAATATTATAGATTTCCTACTAGGCAGTGATAAAAGCGTAAGTATGTTGTTGCTAATTCAAAGAGTAGAATTGCCAAAAAGTGACACTTACAGATTCATGGATCTCATTTTCAGATGGAAAGTCTTGCTCTTTACTTATTTTCTGTCCATGATCAATGCTGCTCCTTCTGGATTCAATTATTACAGAATCTTGTAGATTATAAGGCTCTTCCATAATAGGCAAATCTTTACCAAACCAGATAAGAGGTTTGGAAGAGAATAGGAAAGGAAAAAAAAGAGAAACAAGTAAATGTATAATTAAAAATCAAATATTTCAAAACTGAATTTTCTTAAAGTGGTCATATTAATATTTTGGAGACTATTTTTTACTTTATATTAAAAATCTTAGCACTGTTATGGACCCAACTGATGGCAAAATTGTACAAGTCAGAACCCTGGATGAAATCTGGCTGGTTAATCCTTTTTTTTGCCTTTTAATTTCTGTGGTGGGCAACTACTGACCATATTCACTTGAAGCTACCAGGTACTTTAATAAAAATGAAAAAAAAAAACAAACTTATATGACAACTTAGTAAGATCATTAACGGCAAAGAAATATTCAACTTCTTTTCCAACAATATCCTGTACAGGCATTAAATTCAGTGAAGCATCATTCTTATCCTAACTCTTTATTTTCTTTGCTGATGAAGTTGCAAGCCTCACCTTTTCAGCTTTCTGTACTCATCAGATGTTATTCATTCTATCTCTTCCAGAGTTATTTAATCAACTTAACCAACTGACTTTTCTCACTGAACTTCAGGGAAATTCAGGGTCACCTTTTCTCCTTGGACGGCTAAAAAAACAAAATATTTCATTCCAGCTTAAAGACTTCCACAAACTAAAATGGCCCTTCTATTGTTATGACTTCTCTTCTGAATCCAACCTGCAAGTGGCCCGTGACCATCTGTTTCCCAGTGAGCCGTAAAACTCAACTTAGAAAATTTCAATAATTAACTTCCCAGATAGTGTGCTAGTCATTTAACTTATGAAACATGCTTTCTTGGATATGATGTTTCACTGTTAATTGAATTTCATACCTCTTTAAAAAGTCACCTTCACAAAACTGAAAACTGAAACTAAAATCCATTTTTCCACTTTTGAATCTAAATTCCCAAATAATAATATTACAAAATATTCATCATAACTGTATGCATTTATCGTCTGAAAATCCTGTTTACTATTTAGGGCAGCATGGTGGCACAGTGGTTAGCACTATTGCCTCACAGTGCTAAGGACCTGGGTTCAATTCCACCCTTGGGCAACTGTCTGTGTGAAGTTTGCACATTCTCCCCGTGTCTGTGTGGGTTTCGTCCAGGTGCTCTGGTTTCCTCCTACAGTCCAAAGATGTGCAGGCTAGGTGGATTGGTCATGCTAAATTGCCCATAGTGTTCAGGGATGTGTATATTAGGCAGGTTTATAGGGGGATGGACCTGGGTGGGATGCTCAGAGGTTCGGTGTGGACTCGTTGGGCTGAAGGGCCTGTTTCCACATTGTAGGGATTCTATGATCTTTTGTCATATATTTTTCAGTCATAATACTGTGGTCCAGATATGGTAGTGTGGCAGCTATGTAACTGGACAGGTAATCCAGAGGCCTGGGGTAATTAACTTGTATGTCAAGTTGATAATCACCGCATGTCAGTTTGAAAATTTGAATTCACTATAGTTAAAAAATAAATAAGTCTGGAATACAGAGCTGATGTCAGTGATGATGACTATAAAATTACTGACTGTTTTGTCATAAGAAACCAACTGGTTGACTTCTGCTGGTTTTCTTTAAGAAATATACAACTTGGATTTACATTACACCTTTAATGTAGCAAAACATAGGAAATGACAGAGCTTAATGACTAGGCAAATGAATCCAATGGTAGGGCAATATAATTCAGGGTTGCGCAACAGGTCAGAGGTATGGATGCACTGATTTCTTGGTATTTTAAAATTTAGTCTTAGATACAAATGATCTAAGACAAGACAGGCTATGCTATTGATATGGAAATCTGTGAGCTTAATGTTGGGGCACATATTTAGTTAGAAGCTCATCCTTGAGTTAAATATGACATTGGGGTTGCAAACAGTGTGGTTCTATATCAGACAACTACCCAGGGCAAAGATGAAGTTGGTAGCTAGAGACCAGACGGACAAATGACATTGGAGGGGAATATTGTGATCAATGGCATCTAAGGTTAGCCAGTGAAGAATGATGAGAGTGCTTCACCATAGCACACAGCCACAATTGGCTTTTGGTAAGAGCTATTTCACTACAGTGGCAGGGGCAGAAACCTGTCATTCTTGTCTGGTCAAGCTGACACCAGACCCACAAAATTTGATTGATTCTTAACCATCCTTTGAGCAAGTCATTCAATTGTATAAAACTGATACAAAGAAATAAGGAAAATAACACCCTTTTTAATAGGATGGTAAAAGAACCTCAAAACAGAGTGCAGAGTGCAGTGGATGAAGGCAGTGCCTCAGTACGACATTAATAAGGACAATTAGGCATAGATAGTAAATGTGATGCTCATAACCCATAAATAAATAAGTAATATTAACCCATCAAATCAACCTGAAATGTTAACTCCACTTCTCTCTCCACAGTTCCTGCCAGACCTATTACATACTTCCAGCATTTTCTGCTTTTATTGCAGTACTGTCCTATCTCTTAGTGTTACGGAGGGGAATGGCCCTCTGATAACTAAACCAAAACACAAGCCCCAATCTGTTATGATGGGAGTAGAGGTTCCCTTCTAATAATTACCTCCCGAAAAACCCAGAGAAGCTTGCCTTTCCCCTCGTAATCTGTTAAAAGAGTGGTTAAAAAAAAGAATATCCCTGGTCCACTTCATAAATAACAAGAAACAATTTAATTATTTAACCTTAACAATGAACAAATGAACAGAATTACTAACAAACCAAACAATTCCCTCCAGACTACTAACTACTTCCTAACAGGTCTAAATTCTACTGGAATGCTGTTCAAATAACCACAAGTCCCATCTATTTAACCCCAATTAATAAGACAACAATAAATTAAATCTTAATCTCTCCACATTCGCAGACGTCTCGTAGAACGCTCTGCTTTCTCCAGCCTTTCTTCTGTTGATTTCACGTTACAATGTCTCTCTGCTGCCGATTCTGCTGTCAAAGATTCTCTATAATTGCTTCTGTGAGGACTTTTTAGCTCAGAAATGCCTTGATACCATTTTAATTAGATGGTGCTTTCACCAAGAACAAAAAGTGTTGTCTTTTGGCAGCTGGCTGTCCCCAATCTTCAAAAAACCTTTCTTATACATCCCCTATGACACATCAAATTCTTACAATATGATTGGTTTCAGGTTGTCAACACCGTCAGATTCAAATTTATTCGCTTTATAGTATCTAAGGGCTTGGTTTAAATTGATTGGCTAAATTTGAAAAGACTTGTTATCTTGGAAAAAAAATGCCACTTGGCTGTTCGATACAAAATGTTTCCATGTGAGCACTCTGTGTACACGTGCACTTTAAACTGCTGTTCAGATATCAGTTTTAACTCTAAGCACCAAAAAGACACCATCTTTTAAAGGGACGACACACTGCGTTTGTTTTACAAACACAATCTTGCTTCCTGCCATCCAATTCATGATATTCTACACAATTTTGTAACATTAGTTAACTTCCAAAATTATTTGGTTTTCAACTCAATTTTTGAGTTCCTTTAAAATAGGTATTTTAAAACTTTTCATTTCAGTTAGTCTCCCTTATAATGGACCTGCACAGCCTTCCGCATTGTTACAATGCTAAATATATTCTGATCCTTGAGACAGTAATTGCCAGCAACAATAGTTTTTCCTTTGTTGAAAGTTGAGATCCTTTCTTTCAAAGAACAAAGAATAATACAGCACAGGAACAGGTCCTTCAGCCCTCCAAACCCACGCTGACACATCTTTCATGTCCATAGGGGATTGCAGTCACAAGCCTTATAAGGTCAACAAGCAAGTCTTACAGGGCTATCAATAAGAACTACAGTGATAAGAATTACAACACTTGAGATAAACATGATAATCCAATGGACTTTTTGTAGGCAGTTCTCATAAAAAACATAAAAGCTATAATGTTGCAGGCCACTTCCAGCCAATTCAGTCTGCAAATAGGGCTTGCATACAGGTTGGCTTATTATTAACCATTAATTTATGCAGCCATTGCAAAAGAAATGTTGGTAAATTTTACTAGCTCAGCAATAAAATTATTTACTTCCTAGATACAATTTTTCCAAGGCAGTGTCTGAACAACTGATGAATACCATTGCAATACAAAGTATTTGGTCCCTTGTAACATTATTCTATTGATATAATCAATACAATGCAATGGAACAATGAAAGGCATTTCCATATTTGTAACTTTATTTTTTGCTGTATATAGTAGAGAAATAATTACAGGAAAGTATCTTTAGCAAACTGAAAACGTCTGCAAAAAATACAGAATTGTTCAAGCAAACATTATGCACAATATAAGATACATAAAATAAATGTCCACTGGCAAGAAGGTACATTTGCTACAAGCTCCAACTATCACAGCTTTATTTTAAGGATTACGTCAAAGTGGATCAGGCTGGGTCTGTTGTGTATTGCTTTTATATGAGCAAGGTACTGCTCAAAATTTATAATATTTGTAAATCTTAGTGTAACACTTTTTTCTTCTTACATGGGATGAGTATGTTGCTGGTAAGCATAACTCTGCCCATCTCTAATTGCCTTTGAACTGATTTCACAGGGCAATCACATTGCTGTGGGTGAGGAGTCCCAGGTAGATTAGACTAGGTAAGGATGCCAGACTTGCTTCTCTAAAAGGACATTAGTGAACCAGATGGGTTTTTATGATAATTGATAATAACTAACATAAAATGATTAACATAAATTAAGACTAACTTTATATTCCACACTTTATTAACTGAATTCAAATTCCACCAGGTACCTTTGCTGAGAACTGAACCTACGAACCAGACCGCTAGCTTAAATCTCTCAATTAATAGTCCAGTAATATGCACCATAGAAAGCATCCTATCTGGATGTATAACAGCATGGTATGGCAACTGCTCTTCCCAAGACCGCAAGATACTGCGGAGTCATGAACATAGCCCAGTCTATCACACAAACCAGCCTTCTATTCAATGACTCCATTTATACTTCCCTCTACCTCAGGAAAGCAACCAACATATACCAAAGACCCTTCCCACCCCGGTTACACTCTCTTCCACCATCTTCCTTTGGGCACAAGATAAAGAAGTTTAAATATATGTATGAACAGATTCAAGAACAGTTTCTTCCCTGCTGTTATCAGACTTTTGAAAAGACCTCTCAAACGTTAATGCTGACCTCTCTCTCTTTCTGCACCTTCTCTTTGGCTGTAACACTGTATTTTGCTCTCTGTTCTGCTACCCTGATACAAAGTGTATGGTATGGTCTGTCTGTATAGCATGCAAAACAACAGTTTTCACTGTATCTCAGTACATGTGACAACAATAAATCAAATTATCTCCCTCACACCAATATTTCTAACATTTAAATGCAACTTCCATTTGATCAAAGCACGGACTCATTTGACTGAGCAGAATTATATATTGGAAAATCTGCTGTATCACATATCAAGCACACAAGGCCATACATTTCATTTGTGAATTGCACCTGCCACCAAAAAGAGACTCTGCAATGGTGACGCAGAATTTTACATATTTTGTGATGATTGAATTTCAAAGCTTAAACTTGAAGAAAATTTTTAATAGATATTTTCCTCATTCCCATTCAGGTGTATCAATAAAGATGAAGAAAATTGTCCAATATAAAAGGAAATGATGCAAATGCAAAGAATGTTCCATTAGCATTTGTAAAAGTAAAATTGAATATTCACATAATAAACAACGGATCCTTCAGTAGTGAAGGCCTTCTGCTGATATGATAGTCAATTACCAAAAGGAAAACAGTAAAACTCTAAACTGGTCATAAAAGAAAATTTTCAATAACTCACCAATTACATTGTGCTCCTCACTTCTCATTTCTTCAATCTCGGATCTTTTTTCTACATTGTCACTGTGATCACTTTGCTCTCTCCACAGATTTTTTCTAAGGCAATGGCTGAACAACTGATGAAAAATGAAATTTTAAAAACTTAAATCAGAAGTATGTACAAAGTTGTATTAATGCACATACAGGCCTGAAGAATAGGACACAAAAAAGTACTTGTTAATATTTTGACATCCACACACTTGCCTAAAAACTTACAGTCTTAATTTGCAGTAGCAGCAAAATTGGAGCTACATTCACCCACAAATGTAAGCAAGCCTGCAGAACACAGTGGACTCAGTGAATTTTGTGAGACTACTTTCTAATTTGAATAAAAATGACTTATATTTATAGAGTACTTCTTATGACCTCAAGATATCCCAAAGGTGCTTTACATGAATTAAATATTTTTTGAAGTGTAATCACTGGCATCATGTAAGAAATGCAGCCAATTTGCATGCTGCAAGCTCTAACAAGCAACAATAAACTAATAACCAGATACCTGTGTTTTTCAGTTAGCAGAAAATGGGCATTAAGAGTCTAACCAACAAAGCATAATGGTGAGGTGATCATTGGTGTAGAAGCTTTTGAAGATGTCCTGCTTGTTACTAGAGAGCGGTTTTTCTCTGACCATCTTTTTATATGCTAATTTATCCAAAAAATCAAAAGAAGCAGCAGACATTTTGTGGATGACACAACTGCGTAAATGTGGCATATACTAACATATTCATATAGGACCGGTCATATAAGTGACTATATAAGTGTCTATCTACCTAACACAAAGATATAATGTTTTTTGGAAATAACAATCAATTCATACAAAGATGCATAGTCACCTCCCATAGATCTTTCATCAGTTGGTTAAAGTACATGCCTCAATCCATTCATGTTCTTCTGGTGTTTTTGCAGTGGTGTCTACTAACAGTTACTTACAATCATCTGTTTAATCTATTTGAGCTTTTGCAATAGAAATATTGAAGTCATAATTGGGCTACAGTGTAATTGTGTTATCACATAGAACTAATAATCCATGTCAATGAATTCACATGCAAGCTGGGGAATTTAAATTCAATAATTAAATAAATTTGGAATAAAATGACCCATAAAATCCCATCTGGTTTACCGTGTCCTTCAGTGAAGTAAATCTACTGTTTTTACCTGTTTCGGCCTAGTTATGACTCCAGACATGTGATTGGCTCTGAACTGCCATCTGAAATTACCTAGCAAGCCACTCAGTTGTATTCAAAAAGGCAGCTCATCACCAGTTCTCAGGGAAATTTGGGAACGAGTAATAAATGCTGGCCTTGCCAACCCATGAATTAATTTTAAAAAAATGAAGGTGGCATCAGTGCTATTCAAAATACATTTCTTCCTAATTAAACACAAAGCAAATCAAAGGCTGACAAACAATAGAAGCCAAAAATGTAATTACCATTGTAAAATAATCATCTAGATAACCGTTCATTCTTTCACTGATGTGTATTATATGCACATTAGAAGTTGAACCTAGTCCTGATCAATATTCTGAGAAAAACCTCATGATGGGTGTTCCCTCGAAATGATCGTTCTGAACTCAAAGTAATGTGATGTAGGCTGATACTACTCTACTCACTCTAATATTCCAAATAAAGCCCTCATTTCACAGGGCAAGAGGTGGTTGAACGTTGTTCACTGCCCTAATACCATCCATTTCTGAAGAAGGGTCTAGGCCCGAAACGTCAGCTTTCCTGCTCCTCTGATGCTGCTTGGCCTGCTGTGTTCATCCAGCTCTACACCTTGTTATCTCACCATCCATTTTACCATGTGCTCTCTACTGCAGTTGATTAACAGCAACCTCTGGTACTATGTGTCGCCTGGCCATAGTTTATCTGTCGCATTCTCTGCTGGATTATCATCCTATTTCTCTTCAAGTCAAATCAGCTGTTTTAATAAAGCTAAAGCATTTTATAAGATATCTTTAGTTTTTTTTTAAAAGAATGATCTATAGGTAAAAGAGGATACTTTATATTCTTTTAAAACACCCATCAGAAATAATGGACTAGTGAAGCAAATTGCTCTTTAATGACAGGCTGTTTTTAATTTCCACTGCACTATGGTACCTGTTTAAATAAAACACAATAAATTACCTTTAATAATCTGTAATTTATTAAGGTCTGGGCAGGGTGAGAGTTGAGCCTTTCAACTCCACCTGTCTCCTTCCATATCATCAGCTTTTTAGTAGGTGGAGCCAGCTCTATTGTCGTAATTATGTCTGAGAAGTCCTCAATCTGTTCACGAATGGTTTTACTATCAAGCTCCTTAACACAATCCACAGTAAGCTTTCTCCTCCTTTTACTCCGTTTCCTTTCTGAAGAAACTAACAAGAAAAGAACACCAGTATTACCAATTACTAGTCACGAGTCTGCCACTTATGCTGTCACTATGGGCAGAATTGTATGCTTTTGGCAAGGGAGACTTTTGTCCCTGGCATCTTGATTACAAAGGAAGACTTATTGGTCTAAACTGCCTGATTGGAAGAAGCTATGGCAGGCCTTCCTCTGAAGAGTTTCTGCAGATGGCTCACCAACTTTTAAACAAGTGAGTGAAGCACCTAACAAAAATGGAAAAATTTGTTGAAATATACAACTTACATGCATCAAAGACGTGCGGAAAGTGAATGCCATCACTAAATATTTGCATGAAATATAGGAGGGAAGGAAGCTTTGTGCAATGGAAGTTGCAGATTTTGTTTGATATTTATATGAATAATATCTCATAGTTACAGTCTATTCTCTGCATCGTTCTTTCATTAATCATTCTGCACTGAGAATTATATATTTTGCTATCCATGTCCTAAAGCATATTATGTTATGGCTACTATTACCTAGCTGTCTTCCTACTTTAACTTCTCATCACATGTGGTTCATTTAGCATTATTGGATCCAAAAGCAAATGTTCCTTTGTTGCGCTTTTCACCTATTAGGTTAAAAAGGAGTCCTACGCAGAGTACAGGAAGTCCATTCTCATGTGTCCTTTATTTACCTCATATATCTAATTAATACCAAGATAATTAAACTCCTCGTGATTAGCATTCTATGCTTTTTCACTCAATTCCCTAATTTATCTGCATATAATTTCGTCCATCTCTCCTCCATTAGTAGGTTGTCTCTAGATTACACCAATTAGTACAATTGATCCTTTAGTCTTTTGATAGAATCCAAATGTTTCACTGCACTGCAAATTGCATTAAATTTTTCTACTGCCATTACTTTATCCCAACTACAACAAAGCTGCTAAATCTCTACTTGCCCTTCTCTTTTAAAAATGTTATACCAAGCACCATGTAATTCTTAGTCCTGATTTTTCTGCAGCCAATTTTCAGCAATCCCAGTGTCTGCTTTCACCCAATGCATGATTGCCTGCAGAAGTCTTGTTTTATTACATGTACTGTGTGCATTGTTGTACACACATTGTAACTAATTTTTAATAGAATTCTCACTTTGTGTATACAGTGTGTAAAACCTTCTGTTTTACAACTATTTATTCCCTTTCCATCAAATGACTTCCTCTATTTTATTGTTTCTTGTATTTCTGCCGTTTTGTTTATCCCACATGTTTCTTGAAGATCCGTCACCTCCCGACAATTTTAAAACCTTTCCTCTCTCACTTTATACCCTTTCTGGGAGTCAGAGCCCATTTTGGTTTGGGTGGAGCCTTTAATGGAGGATCTTATCAATTTAGTTATAACTCAGAAAAACAGCAGGTTATTGAGGGGTCAGGGCAGCATGACAGAAGTCCTATTCCGATCTTCTTAGGACAGACTACCGAAAACCCAGTCCCATTAGCTTTGGTGTGTTATCAATGATGAGCACAGCAAGAATAAACACTTGTAACTGTTATATACTCAATACGGAACAGAAAGAGGCTATTCGGCTCATTTAGTTTATACCGGTTCTCTGCAGAACTGTCCAGTTGGACCCAATCTTCCATCTATTCACACAGTCCTGCAAGATTTTTTTCCCTCGTAATTATTCTATTTCATTTTGAAAGCACTGTCTCCATTTTCACAACTTTTGTTGGCAGATAGTTCCAAATCATTACAACTCACTATGAGATAAGGTTCTTCCTCACTTCCCTCCTAATTCTTCTACTATCAGTCAATGAGAATAAGTTATCTTTGTAAATCCCATTATAATCATGTACTCACTATTAGATTTCCCCTCAAACTCCATTGCTCGAAACAGAACATCACCACTTTCTTCGAACTAATATCGCAGATGAATTGCTTCATGCCTGGAACATTCCCATGAATTACCTCCACACTCTTAAGGATACCTGCTTCTCCAAATTAATGCTATAATTCCTGGAACCACTCTAATGAATTTCTTTTCCACCCTCTCAAGAATATTCACATCTTTCCTCAAATGTAGTGACAAAAACTGGAAGCAACATTCCAGGTACAGCTTAATCACAGCTTAACAAAGTTTCAGCTTCCATTTTTGTACACAATATCTCTATTAATGAAGCCCAGAATACAATTTCAATTTGTCATGCAATCTTAAAAGATCCAGCTCTCTGTTCTTGGATATGCTCTATGGCTACCATTAAATATCAAAGATCAGATTTTCACAAGGCAAGGGGTATAGTCAAGTCAGGTAAGTTCTAGATTAGGCAGACTCATCTCAATAGAGATTTGTATTTTGAGGAGAAAACAAAGTAAACGTTTCGGGTCCGGTGACCAGGGTCACCAGACCGGAAATATTAACTCTGTTTTCTCCTTCACAGATGCTGCCAGACCTGCTGTGCTTTTCCAGCAACTTTGTTTTTGTTCAAAGTTTGACTGTTCTTTCCACCAGACCATTGGACTTAATATTGAGTTCAACACCTTCAGATTGTGAAACCACTGCCATTCCTTCTTTTTCTTTTAGCTTTACTTGTTAGATTCTCTGTCACTACGTCCGCTCCACCCTCCCCCCACCCAATCTCAGGGACTGTCTTTCTTTCCAGTTAGACACGCCATTGTTCTGCCATTCTCACTTAATCTGAACTATCAACATCCTTTTTCCCCCAGCACTCCACCCTCTTCCCTGCCGTTCGCACCTCCCCCCCCCCCGCCTCCACTGCATAAATGCTGTCCCCTCCACATTTCACGTCAGCTCTGAAGAAGAGTCATGTCAACTCGAAACGTTAGCTTGCTTTCTCTCCTCGGATGCTGCCTGACTGCTTTGATCTCCAGCACTTTTTGTTCTCAGTATAGGTAGAGTGTGACTGCATGCAGTGGATGGTGCATGTAAGGAATGAGCTGCCAGGGGAACCAGTGGAGGCGAGTACAATTACAACATTTAAAAGACATTTGGACAGGTACATGAATAGAAAATGTTTGAATGGATATGGGCCAAAAGCATGCAAGTGGGACTAGTTCAGTTTAGGATAACTGATCGGCATGGTTGAGTTGGATTGAAGTGTCTCTTTCCATGCTGTAATTGTCTATGACTCTATGGAGGAGGTGCAGAACTGATTCACCAGGATGTTGCTTGGGTTGGTGCATTTTACCTGGGGTTGTTCTCTTTAGAGAAGGCTGAGAGGGGACCTGATTAAGGTGTACAAGATAATGAGTTGAAGGATCAATAATGAGGGCACAAATTTATTGGAGGAGATTTATACGAGTTTTGAAGAAAGACTTTTTTCACCCAGAAGGTGGTGAGCATCTGGAACTGCCTAGAAGGAGGAGGCGATGGCCTAGTGGTATTATCACTGGACTGTTAATCCAGAGACATAGATAACATTCGGGTCAATAAATGTTGCCTAGCCAGCGATGCCCTCAGCCCGTGAATAAATAAAGGGAGTAGAAGCAGAAAACCTCGCAACCTTTATAACATTCAAGGCTATGGGCCAACTGCTGGCAAGTGGGATTAGTGCAGATGGGTCAGCTTAGACTTGATGGGCCAAAGGGTCTCTTCTGTGCTATATGCCTCTATGACTCAGAGGCAGTCTGGTTGATTGGCAAGGGCAGAGGCAATGGCCTAGTGGTACTATCGCTGGACTGTTAATCCAGAGACTCAGATAACGTTCTTGGGACCTGGGTTTGAATCCTACCATGGTAGCTGATGAAATCTGAATTCAATAAATATCTGGAATTCAGAGTCTAATGATGACCATGAATCCATTGTTGATTGTTGGAAAAACCCATTGGCTCACTAATGTCCTTTAGGGAAGGAAACTGCCATCCTTACTTGGTCTGCCCTAAATCTTGGCAATTAGGTATGGGCAATAAATGCTGGCCTAGCCAGCCACACCCTCATCCTGTGAATGAATAAAGGAAGAAAAACTCCAACAGCAAAAACACTCTATCTTGATGCTTTGGTAAATGAATAACACTTCACATTAATTGCATGCTTGATTCCCACTGTGGTGATGCTGCATAGTTGAAGAAAGGTTCTTAGGTATTATGAGCATTTCTTGCAATGGGCAAGTATTAGGGATAATATTAATGATGGTCAATGAATAGTGGTAGCCCAATGAAGCCTGCATGTTCTAAGTGAATAAAAAAGTAATTCAATATTTTGCATCATGAAATTGATTACAGAGCAACAGAAAAAAATGTCTCATGATCCTTTGAATACAGGAAATAATTCTGTACTTTTGCTTATTGCTGGAGATCAGAAGTCATCAATTTTCACATGTTCCTTTCAGTGAACAAGTTTAAATGAAAACAAATGCCCTGATTTGGGAGTAATCAGTGGCATTGATGAAAGAGAGTGGGGTGGTAGAGGATGATTTCTGAAAACCACCTTCTGCCCCTGCCTCCAACATCCTGACTCTTCTCTTCCCACAATCACTATCCAGAAACATGATGATACAAATTACTTCACTTTTCACTGTTGGATCTCCCGAATAATAGGTTCAACTAGCAGAACTTGTGATATAGAGACTGCCAGCCAATGAGGTAACCTGGCAGGTGAGTGGACTAGAAACTCAATGATGCAGTGCCTATTGTTATGAAGGCCTCATATTTAATCATTTTTGTGGACTTAAGCTTGAAGCACTCTGGATACTTAGATATTCGAACATTATTCAATAGGGATTTATTAATAGTCACATATCTTGTTTACTACAGACAACCTGCCTGAGTTTACGGCTGTCAACTTGCAGTGTCTGCTTTGGATATTGATTGGAGTAGTTGATGACCAGCCTGCTGAATGCAAAGAGCTTCCCAATGTAGCTTTTCCCTTTCTAGAAAATTCCTTGCTGTGAAACCCGATTGTCCTCTTGAAGAGCATACAGAAGAATCATTGATACTGTATTTCCTCGGAAGCTTTATATGCAAAGATCCCAGCGATAACTGCCTATGTTTGATGAAACCCATCTACGCATGCT